TTTTCCTTCCAATTTACATTATTCTATTGTCTTGTAACTTTTCTTTTATACTATATTTCAAAATATAACATGATTGTGTGTTTTTCTTCAAATTAAACTTTGGATTATTTGTTTGTGGGCTTTTCATTTGCTGGTTATACGATGAGAATTCAAGTTCTTAATTACACATCTTGCTTGCTTACACATTTTTTTATATTTCTCAACTTTTGGTGGTATAATTTTAGTTGAGCTATAGTTTGTACGATGTCACTACCTCCACTAATGAAGGCTTCCTGCCTACTACCTCTGTCATACCTTGTTGTAAGCAGTAGTCTTGTGCACTGGGCATTATGGGCATGATTGACAGTCAATTAAGGTTCTCCGGAAAGGCAGGGCCTCCCACTTACTACCTCTCCCATACCTTGCTGTAATCATTGGTCTAGACAATTGGGTCCTTCCTATTGATTTGTCACTTGGTGGGTCAACATTTTGGATTGCAATGGATGCCTTGTGACGAAGACGATAATATGCTTATTAATGCATGGCATATAGCTATTCGATTAACCTATTTTGTGTCTTCTCCTTGATGTTGTGTATATATGTGTATATTTTTTCTTTCATTTGTCTAAAACACTGTGTAGCTTTTGCCCATTCTATTAAGTTAATCTTTACCATGGTTTATGTTGTATAGGCTTCATTCCATTTGGAGAAAGAACGAGCTGATGATTCTGAAAGGAAATGTGCGGAAGCCTTAGAAGCTAGTGAAGAGAAGCAAAAGAAGTTAGAAGAAACTGAAAAAAAGGTTCATCACATGTAATTAGAGCTTATATCCTCCTCCATGGAATTGACCAACCATGTCATAACCATGGAGTTTTCAGCGTCCCAATTGTCGAACAGCGGATCATTAACCGCAGGAGCCTTCTTGTCACCAGTGATGTAACCGATCTTTCCTTGCCCACGGATATACATCCGGACAGATTGTGACCAGCGGAGAAAATTATCACCATTTAGGCGGATGGTGGTGATTTGGACAGAGTGAGAGTTGGACGTTTTCACCGGAATGGCAGCGGCAGGGGTTGAAGTGATTTCGGATGTGACTTCCGACATGGCTATGACGGTTTTAGGGCTGCTGTGTTTTTTGTTGCTCTGATACAACTTAGAAAATATGAGGAAGAAGAACTCCGAAAATATGAGGAAGAAGGAATATATTTATGTTATATTCAAAACTTCTTATTTTACAAGACCAAATGACACTCCTTATATAGGAGATATTACAAATATCATTATAACCCATTATATGCCACTTACATATTATATATTACCACTATCTACCACTATCATATTATATACATGCCACTATCTACCACCAACACCACTATCATATTCTATACATGCCACTATCTTATTATATGCATTAACACAAATTTCCAGCAACTTACAAACCATAGCTTAATTTTAAAATCATACTAAGCATAAAATTAAAAATAAAAAAGAAATCTAGTGAAAGGAATTTTATCTATGTAGTAGAAGAAAATATTATTTCAACTAAGGTATAGTATGACTTGGGTATATACTAGGTACGTCTGGGTATGTGCCATACGAAATATCATCCATCGGTAAGTACCCGGTACGGGTGTGAAATGTTTGTCGAAGTACCCATGCTTCATAGGATATGGACAAATAGGTAGATTAGATGGACAAATAGGTGACACATGGACAAATAGGTAGGACTGATAGATGACATTTGAATAGATAGGCGGACAATGAATAGATGGACAGATAGGTAGGGGTAATATGATCTTTCAAATTATTATTGTTCTTTTGGCCCCAAAAGAAAAGAGTTTTGCGCTATTGGCCTAAAAGTTTTAAATTTGGACTTATGGCTCGAGTACGTTAAACTTTTACTGTGTTAAACCTTTATTTTGACAATAAAATTCCACTATCACATCACAAACCACTACACTCATTGTCACTGTTACTTGTACCAACAAAAATATTTAAAAAGAAATTTATCAAAATAATAAAATAGTAAGCATAATTTACTCTTCAAATATAAAATTGCTTTCGTTAACCACCAACGCAATGTCGCCATTACCATCACCTATGCAGGCCGGACACACATATGGACACGGGACATGGTGATTTAAAAAAATAGGGACACGGACACAGATACAGTGGGGGACACAGCAAATTTATATTTATATATTTGTTGCATAGATTAATATTATGTTACAAAACAATCAAAATTAATAAAAACTAACCTTAATTCAATAAATATATATATAAACCACTACATTTATATTTATAAGGTAAAAAAAATATATTAGAATAATCATACATACAGAAAAAAGATATAACCTTATAAAGAAAAAAAATTAAATAGAAAAATATAAAATACATAAATATAAATTAGAAAGAGAGAGAGCAAGGTGTATGAATCATAAGAAATTAAAAAAAAAAGAAAAAAGAGAAGCGAGAGGCGAGAGAGAGACCTACCTGACCGCGGTCACGAAGCTTCTTCTTCTTCTTCTTCTTCTTCTTCTTTTGGTGTGTCCGACGAACCAGGTAATCAGCTTCTTTTTCGTTTTCTTCTTTCTTTTCTGTTATGATTTTGAGATTTAGGGCTAAAGCTCTGAACTCTTTTTGGTGTGATTCTGGACACGTGTCCCTGGTGTGTCCCTTGCCAAAAAGATAAAAAAAAATAAAAAAATAAAAATAAAATTAAAGGGACATGCCAAATGGCATGTCTTGTATGTGTCCCTTTGTCCGACACCGCTATGACACCTATTTCAGCGTTTTGTGCTTCATAGACCATCACCATCAGTAAGCACCACAATGATCATGACATTCCTTATTTTTCATATCAGTTTTCTTATGATTTTAACTATAAAATCAAAATCACAAGACCGGAAATTAATTTAAAAAATTCAACTTCAAAAATCATAAATTAATTGTGGATGTTCCCAAATATTCATGTTTTAACATACATATGAAACAATTTAAAAAAATTGAATAGCAATTATTGTAAAATATTTTTTTTTTAAATTATATTTGTATAGTAAAATTTTACTCTAGTTTGACTGCTAAATGATTGACGAATACATATGTATCTAAACAAAAGAATGAGAAGACCAATAGAGTTATCCATTGTATCTAAAACTCAGATCAACAGCAATATTATCACATATGTCACAACATTAATTGAATATAGATGGTTTAATGATCTACATGATGCAAATAATATATAATGCATGATGTAGTACCAATTCTTCCATAGTTGAAAGCCTCAAGGAAATATTACTATGACAGAGGTTGTGAAATAGCATATCCACGCAGCCTAGCAAGCAATACGATTGAGCGAGCCTCACAAAAATCACAGTTGAGCTCATCAGTCATTGTCCAACCATTATCGCCTCTGTCTCTACGTCTCCCTCTCCTTCTATAGAGATTAACTCCTTCGTCAACAAGAGCCAACAAATTTAAAGAGGATAAAATTGTCCAATGAGATGCTTATTATGTGGACTTGTAGTTTGAAAAAATTAAATTCAAGGACCTTAGACATTAAACTGTGGTAGAGTGTCCTTTTTCAATGAGAAATCTGTTTTGAGGGATTTTTTCCCTTTTTATTTTTGTACTTTACTTTGTTCTCTTGGTTTTCTCTTCTTTGCTTTCCACTACCTAATGATTAAATGAAACTCAATAACACTGAATATCTTCACTTTCTAATGTAGAAAATGTGAATTATTTCTTCTCATTTGGGTGCCAAATGTTTTGATAGCCATTGCAGCCTAGTATTTCTGGTCTATTTTGACTAATGTACTCAACATATAAAGAAAGGTTAAACTACACTGTTCTCCCTTAAAGTTTGGAGAAAATACAAGCAGCCCCACTATTTTGGCATAATTACACGGACCTCCCTTTTAATGAGGCTAAAGGGACCAAAATTAATGCATATGGTGTAAAAACACATAGATAAACAAGGTGAGATATACATTTCAGGATAAAAGAGATAACATTATTTTTTCATCCATAAAACTAGTGAATTACTAATAAAAAAGGGCCAAGTGTTATGTGAATTAAAATCTCAAAGGAGCCCAATGTAATTATGCCAAACTTGTGTGGCTTATTTTATTCTCTCTAAATCTCAAGGGATGTCAGTGTAATTTATCCTTAAAGAAATTAATTGAGTTTTGAGTGGTTTTCCTGTGTGAATTCATCTACCTCAATTATGATCTTATCAATAAAGTTCGCATCTGATTTGATGAAAAGAGATTGCCTGTCAGGATCCTTCTAACTGTTTTTACAGTATAGATACGTCATAATCTCATTTGAAAACATATTTTTTCCTTTTATGTTTTTCCTCTTCCTTTAGATTATATAGTATCACTTTTGTTTCAAACAGAAATTGTCATATGACCCTCATATGATATACATCTTTCGGGAAAAGAAATGTAAATTTCTTCCCTTTTCTTCTCCTTCCCTGTTTTTTCCACTGTATTTCTTCTTTCTACTGTATTTTCTAGACCTACCACCACTGACCTTGTAGGTGAGGGAATGGGTGCAGTGGTGTTGGGTTGGGTGGTGTGAAGGGATGGGGCTGGCAGGCAAGGGGTGGGGGTGGTGATGATAGGAGGTTGGGAGCTGGTGGGAAAGGGGTGTTGGTGGTAGGAAAGTGATGGAAAGTGGCCATGGGTGGTGGTAAAGGTTTAGAAAAAACAGTAGAGAGCAAATATAGTGGAGAAATATAGAAGAAAAATGGGAAAAAGAAAAAAAAAATTTGTCCCATGTAAGGGTCACATGACAATTTCTGTTAGTGAATGTGACATAAGAGCTGAAAGGCCACATTGCAACTTGACCAAAAGTGCAAACAGTTGACTGTTACATGTGGAAAATGGGGGACGAAAGTGAGATTCGGTGTAAAATGCAGCGGTGTAAGAAAGTATAATTTACCCTTTCAAATTTTTAGTTCACTTCAAGAGGGTCTTCTTCATTGAGCTAACTGTGAGTATAATTTATTGCAGTCACATATATTGGAGCTCCGCTGCATACCTGAGGCATTACCATATTTTGTTACCCCAAAGGCGGTCGATGAAAATTCACCACTTTTACAACAACTGCCGCACTGGGCTGCTTGTTCAATCACACAGGCTCTTGAGTTTCTTACTCCAGCATATAAAGGTCATCCACGTGTGATGGCCTATGTTCTCAGAGTTTTGGAGTCTTACCCTTCTGAGCGAGTAACCTTCTTCATGCCACAGCTAGTACAGGCCCTACGATATGATGAAGAGGTGGGCTGTCTCATTAACATGTTAATGCACTCTATGCGTAATAATTTCTTCCCTGCTTCCCCTCTTGTTGGCTATACATCTTTATCTCATTCACTCTTAGGTTCATCCACTTCAAGAGTTTGAACCTGACAGATTGAGCTGGCATCAACCACGGGTGAACTTAGACAAAAGAATTGGTGCTTATGGCTGGGCATATATTTAAACATTCTTAGTTTGTGGTGGGGATTTAGGCAACACAATTTTTAACTAGATCTAACGTTGGTAAATCCATTACATGCTAAGTTTGAAAATTTTCATTGGATTTTGTATTACGTGCATTTAATAATTGTTAATTATCTATTGTTGAAACATAAAAAATAAAAACTACTAATACAGTGTCCAAAATTGTAACTCAGAATCCTGACTGACCATTGGATGCTGAACACAATGGGTGGAAGAAGTTTTGAATTTTGCTACTAATTTTCATTTAGGTCTGAAATTTCAGTTCTATAACTGCCTCATAATTGGAAAATTTTATCCACTTATTTTAATGTGCATTACTCCAAATGACAGAATTCACACTAATATAATTTGGTAGATAGAGCAAGACCTAAACAAGAGTTGAATTGTTGGACAAAATGAAAACTTCTGCAGAAAATGTAGCATTTTAATTGCTTTTTTTGGGTAAGGGCATAAGCTGACCTAAAGCTATGCTATTTTGGCCCTGTTTGTGATATGGAATTTTTGGCTAAAATAACCAATAAAGACAAAATAGACTAAAATAGCCAATAAGACAAAATGTCACTTTCCAACCATAGTCATTTCACTTTTTCTTTCACAACTATCAACTCAACTACAAAAAAAAAGCCAACTATCATCCCAAACACAACTTTTTTAGCTAGACTAAAATAGTCAAAAAGACAACTAAAATAGCCAAGTTCCCAAACGGGGCCTTTTTAAGCTCAGTTCTTGGGCTTTGTACAGTGTTCCATGACGGTTCAGTCAAATTGACCTCCAACTTGACTGACCTTATTAAGTGGAAGCCAAAAGGTTACACCTAGAGGTTCTATATTGCAGATCAATCCTACTCCTTTAATACCAATAAGCAGCATGAAGGAAGAAGCACTACACCTAAAAATCAACAGCACATAAACTTTATCTATTACCCCTTTCCTGGTCAGTCCTGGAACTCACAAGAATTAGTTTTATTATTATTATTAATAATTTTGTTTTTGAGGAGTAACAGGAGGGTAAGGATCAAATTGGGGGATGGGACTGACAAAAATGGTTGGGAAAGCAAACATCCATGATGTTTGTATTTTGGATTCCCAGAAAACAAATAAAAGGTTATTGAAATGACTAATTTCTCGAAAGTAAGGCATAAGCTATCTGAACCTATGCCGACTTGATGAATAGGTTGTTTTGGGCTATGTAGAGTGTTCCGTTGTAGGGTTGCTTTCAATTGACCTACAACCTGATTGAGAACCTGAATTGAAGGTTTAATTGTATTATTGCATGCTACATTTTCTATATTATGTAGGTTTATCTGATGACTAATTTCTCTATTTGCAGCAATTAGTCGAAGGTTACTTGCTTAGAGCTGCTCAAAGAAGTGACATATTTGCTCATATACTGATATGGCATTTACAGGTAGGATAAATTTTGCTCTCGTTGTGTAACTAGAAAATATATGTGCTTTCTTATTATATTAATGAAGCGATTGTGTGCTTCTCATGGCGATTATGTTCTAGTGACTATCTGTTTGACCCAAACAGGGTGAGACAGAAGAATCTGGGAAAGATGCAGGTTTGGGGAAGGTATGTGTCTTAAAAAAATACTCGGCATCATTATCCAATACTCTGAACATCTTGTTAATATCAATTTCTGATTTTTCATATTTTTGTTGTTCATATTAAAAATATGAGGAGGCATTTTATTTGAGTAATTGGATTTAGGGCTGCAACTTGAGTGGGTTTAGTTGGACTGGAAGCTTATCCAATTGTGTCTTGCTCGCCCAAGCTGAAACAAAACTGAGAGAGCTCGAGTGAAGTTTGGGTTGCCTGAATTAATAGTGTAATACAAAAATATTTGAAAGTTGAATCAGGGTGTATTCCTGAATGTTGTCATAAACAGAGAAACACTCATCCAAACATATATGTACATACATATAGGTAGAGACCTAGACGGCATATCGATTACTGTGACAGGGACTTGATCAGGGTACATATCATCGGGCTAGAGGTCGACGGCCAAGACAAGGCAACATTGGTCGGAAATGTATTTATTGAGGTCACCGGTGATGATGATATGAACACGAATGTGCATAGTTCGCTTTACAATTGTGCCACCTAAGTTAATACAAGATATATACACAACTATATATATGCACAGGAGATTATGATTGATTTGATGGAAAAAAACCCTAGGCATTGTGAGTGAAGCCCAATTTGAATAAATGAACTGAATAGATAAATGCACGCGTGCTGACCTTGTTGGGAATAGCAGGGGTCACCGAAACCCTAGGATGGGGGTGCTGGTGGATGCTTGAGAAAGAGGATTTTGAATGAAAGATTTGAAGAGTGGGATGACTTGAATATTCTTGGACATTTGAGTGTGCAACATAAATGTTTGTGGGCTTCTCTCTCTCTCTAATACATAAGTATATAATATACAAATCAGACTTGGGTTGTTCAGATTGCCAAACTCCTTATTCTAGGTGTGGATCAAATTCAATTTGGGTTAGAAAAATCCAGCCAAAGCCTGAACTGAAGAAAAACAAAATGCTATCTAGGATTGAGAGTGTTTCTGGTTGCTTTAGTTCAACCAACCCAATTTGCACCTCTAATTGGATTGATTTAAACTTTTGTTGGGTTCTTCATGTGCCTTAACATTTTTTTTATTAGCAACAAAGAAGTTTTATTAAAAAGAAATAAGAAAAGTACCAAGGAGCACCAGAAGTCGTCTAAAAATAAAGAAAAATAATGAAAATTACATCTCATACATAGCCTTACAATATCTAATAATGAAGAACAAGGGTACTCTATTAAAAGAAAGTGGCACCAACTCCAAAAAAAGGAGACAAGTAACAAAATTTATCATATAGACCCTTTGTCTTTGAACTAGGAAAATTGTCAATTCTTTCCAACCATATTACCAACAAAACTTGGTGCTGTTCTATTATTCCAAACCTACTAAAATCAACCAATAGCATCTGAACACTTGAAGAAGGTACCCCAATCGACCTCCGCTAACCCAAACAATCTCCTCCATAATGGTGAAGTTGTGGAACAATGCAAAAATAAATAATCATTACTGTCATCATCATTCCTACACATGACACACCACTATAGATGCCAAAATCAATTAGGTCTCATTTCCTGAATCAATTAGATTCTTTGAGTGGCTCATTTGCATTCCCAATCTTCTTACAAGGATCAAAGATTGGTACACTTGGATTATCAATAATGTTTTCAAAGTAGAATTTGCAAGAAAATGCTCTAGAAGAGTGAATACTCCACATTCTTTTATCTTTACCCTATTGTCTCAATGAAACGTTATCAAGGATACGAATGTAAAGGTTTTTCAAGAAATTGAATAAGAGGAAACCATTGATGCAATGAAAACTTTATGGAAATGAGATAAACAATACAAATGAGAAAAAAAATGAGCAAATGGAATCTCAGCTGAGTATACATCCTCCCCAAAATGAATGTTTTCTCCATTAGCCACAACAAAATGAATAAACTGAGAGAATTGAAATTTGCCTTGAGAAATGAATTTACATGGAAATCTTGAATTCTCCCAATTATCCAAATGAAAATCTCAACCCTTATGTTGAATCCCATGCTTACTTTTAATTAGTGTCATAAAGAATTGAGCTCACCAAGAAACCTCCATAACCACTTACTAAGCAATATAATGTTATTTCTAAAATATATGCCAAAAGCAAGCCCTACTTTTATTCTTAGGAAGAGATACTACATCCCAACTAATCAAATGTCCTTTCTCCCTTCTCTACTTCCTTCCCACAAAAAAAACTCTCATTATTTTCTCAATTTTGTTTGTTACTCTCATTGGAATTCTAAATAAATAGAAATAAAAAATAGTTACACTAGACAAAACCAATTAATCCAAAGTAAGCCTTCTCCCTTTTGATATTTAGTCTCTTTTTCACTTATCTAACCTCTTCTCAATCTTTCCTGACATTGGGTCCCAAAAATTAACCGCCCTTGGATTGTTACCCTCCAAAGGAAGATCTTAAGGGCAAAGAATCAATAGGACATCCCATTAACCCAACCAACCTAAGCATTCTATCTTGAGAAATATTAATTCCTAGTTTTGTGCATGGTTGTTATAATCTTACGATTGATACAAGTTTCAACTACAACAATTTTTATTCATGTTGAATTTTAAATCGATTGAATCGTATGATTCATTGCAATTTGCTTTGATTTGCTGCGACTATAGTTTTATTTGCACAATGCATGAAACGGTGTCATTTTCGTAAAATAAAAAAAGAGATCAATTAATTATATTAATATACGTGATTTTATATGTAAATACATCTATATACAATTTTGAGATCAATTAATTATATTAGTCCCTCTGTCCCATTTTATTAGTCCATTATCCCATTTTTTGTTGTCCCAAAATGCATATCGACTTTTGAAAAGTCAAAACTTTAAATTTAGAACTTTCCAAAATTGTCCCCTATAAATAATTATAAATATATTTAAAAACAAGAAGAGAAGGGTATTTTTGGAATTAATGCTTTAAAATTTGAATTCAAGTGTCATGATTACTTGTCTCCTTTAAAAGTTGAAATTTTTCAAAGGGACAATCAAAATGGGATAGAGGGTGTAATATACGTGGTTTTCCATGTAAATACATATATATACAATTTTGTGATATTGATTTTTATTCATTTAAAACACTGTATTTTTATATGTACATAGATATTTAAAATTATATATTATTCTAAATAAAGTGTATCTTACGATTCACAATTCAATTCATAGTTTGACAACAATAATCGTATGTTATGTGGACTTGGTTATATTATGGATGTTGGGTGCATAGGTGCATATAACAATCAATAAGATCCATAGTAATTTCAAAGTCTCAGTTGCTTTGCCATTAATAACAATCAATAAATTGGACAAGGGCAAACAATCTTGAATCCATTTCCTCCATTTATCACTAAACCCTTTCTTTTCCATAACAAAAAAAGGCTTTTTCAACATCAATGTTGAACATAACACATTTCTTATCTTGAGATCTACACTCCTCCACATTTGATACCAAAAATAAATCCAAAATTTGTTGACCTCAATATAAACTCATTGAGAAAAAGAAATTGTATCAGCCAAAACTACTCAACTTTCTTGACAAAATTTTATCCAAAGAAGTAACTAAATTAAGAGGCCAAAAATCCGCGATCTTCAAAAAATTCTCCTTTGGAATAAAACAAATAAATCAAGCCTTTCTATCCTCCAACATTAGTTCCACCAGCATTAAATTAGTACAATAAATCTATATAGTTGCATGCTAAGAAACATGGACATTTCTATGAAGGTAATATGCCATATCGGACACCGACACGACATGACACTCATGGGACACTTCTCAACCTTTGTTAGACAAACCTCAAAATATGTACAACTATTTTTTAATATTTTTTAGAATTAGACACACTTTAGACACTTGAACAACAAACACATATCACTTAGGCATACATAAAATAAAATACAAATTTGAATAAACTAACTTGAGGTTGTATCACTTGTTTGTGTCCATGCTCCTTAGGTTGCAAGTTTTGGGGATTAGATATCTATTGTAGGAGTTTTCTTCTCTCATTCTGCACTATTTTCATGATCTTAAGACAGTAAATTGTTCTTTTCTTTAATCATTAAACACTAAACATTTTGGCTTCATGAGTTTCTCTCAATAATGTAACACTCTTTGCTAAATCAGTTGAATGTATCCTTATTTTCAGAATAGTTCGTTTCAAGAACTTTTGCCTGTTGTTAGGCAACGAATAATTGATGAGTTCACTCCCAAGGCTCGTGACATGTTTCAAAGAGAATTTGATTTTTTTGACAAGGTGACTTCTATATCTGGTGTGCTCTTTCCACTTCCGAAGGAGGAACGGCGAGCTGGCATCCGGCGGTATTTCTCTATGTAGTGAATATGTTGACTCAAATTGTGCTATGTGTGCATGGCTGTTGACGATAGCTTCTGATATTATTGAAACAGGGAGTTGGTGAAAATTGAAATGGAAGGAGAAGACCTTTACCTACCTACTGCTCCTGGTAAACTTGTTAGAGGTATTCAGGTTGACAGTGGAATACCCTTACAATCAGCGGCAAAAGTTCCTATTAGGATCACATTTAATGTGGTGGACCGGGATGGGGACTGGAATGATATAAAGCCACAAGCTTGCATTTTCAAGGTAACTCTATTTAGTTATTACTTTGTATCAGATCATGCTTGTGGAGCTGAATTTGGAATGGTGACCTTAAAAGGAACTTAGTCTGTGCTGACTTATTAGGTCCAACTAAATTTTTTAAATTGAAAGAAAAGACACCTTCAAGTCATCTGCCACTTTCTTTTTTTCTTTTTTATCAATTGTTATCATGTTCTGTCTGTCCTGTATATGTGTTAGAAGCAAACTAAAAATGGTGATGGTTTTTCAAGTACCTTTACTAAATTGCCAGCAAACCCCAAGGATGCTGATTAATCACTCATTTGTCAACATCAGCAACAAAATTCAGATATCCTGTTAAATAAAATGGTTACAGTTGATCATTTAATGAATTTAGGAGCTACAATTTATGTAAGCTAATCCCACTCAATTATTTTATAAAGTACAAGGGCCTAAATATTCCTGATTAAAAACAGTTTATATTACTAATCAGTCTAGTCTGATGAGCTTACCAGTTTTTGCTTCTGCGTTATTGTCAGACATGGACATGGCTAAACTGAGTTCTTTCTGATCTAGGTTGGAGATGATTGTCGGCAAGATGTTCTTGCTTTACAAGTAATTTCACTCCTTAAAGACATATTTGCAGCAGTTGGACTTAACCTCTATTTGTTTCCTTATGGGGTTCTTCCTACTGGGCCAGAGAGAGGAATAATTGAGGTAAGCTTGTTTTATTAGATTTAAATGAAGGTTTTTGTGTGTGTGTGTGTGTCTTGAAAATTTCTAGATTACATCTTGTACTTTGGATCATACAAATGTTTTTACATATTGTGAAAATTTCGTTCATTAAGTCACAAAAGTAAGCTACCACCAAGGTATCCAAAAATAATCATGGCAAGGATGCTTTGCTATTTAATGCAACTATATCCATGGTAGGGTTGGTGTTACTGTTTGCAATAGTTGCAAAATAAGGTTTAGAGGGAATTATCGAAGTTTCTCACATGAATTTAAACTTTGTAAGTATCTAATTGGTTTTTTTATTTATTTTAATTTTAATTTCCCCCCCTTCTTTGAAGTTGAGATTGCCAAAGTCATAAGATTTCGTGATTTTTAGCAAACTGGTATTTTGAAACTTCTAAAAAATTTGTTGAATTTATTGTCCGACTTTTTTGGTAGATAGATGAAAATATTGAAATGGCCAAAGTTGTTAGATTTAAAGGTAAGTCTTGCCTGCCTGCCTAATTGTGTCAAATTTAAGTTGGTGGTCCATATTTTGCTAGTAGATTTACTTAGTCTGGTCTAGCACACACGGATCATTGTCTTTATTTACAAGTAATTTGATCAAAGCCTGTACCATCATACATCCCATATCTATGTGGCTCGAAATGTGCAACTTGAAAGCACTATAATAAGAAGGTCATTATGCAACCATACATGATCACCACTTCTACATGATATAAAACACATACCGTTGCTCTTTGTGGGTGCAGATTTAAGCTAATAATAATTTATAAATTTTTTTTTTTTGTTGTTGTTGACAGTCTGTTGTCATACTTGGATACTTATCTTGAAATCTAAGTGGGCATTTCTATTCTGCAGGTTGTGCAAAATTCACGGAGCAGAAGCCAGATGGGTGAAACCACTGATGGTGGTTTATATGAGATTTTTCAACAGGACTTTGGGCCTGTTGGTTCTCCCAGCTTTGAAGCTGCTCGTGAGAACTTCATCATTAGCAGTGCTGGTTATGCAGTTGCCAGTCTCCTGCTTCAACCGAAGGATAGACACAACGGAAATCTTTTGTTTGACAAGTATGCTTTATTAGTTTCTACATTAAATATGTTAATGATGTATTGACGCAATTACCAAAAGTGACTTGGTTTAGTAGTTTCAATTTGAAAATCTAGCCCGTTATATGGTTGCTAGAGATCTCTCTTACAACTGATGCCACATTACTTCACGGATAAGTTGAAGGGTACACAGGCTAGGCAAAAAACGTCATATATATATTTATATATATATTTATCTATTATGTGATATAAACTAGTGCTATATATAACATACAATGCCAAAAAGAGGTTTTACTCATTTTATTTCAATAATACAGCAATATATACAGATAATGATAGTGTTAAATACAAATATGTAAGAAATGTCCTATGGAAAGTATTGGATACTTATCCCACACCATTGTCCAAGTGTCGGGTGTCTGATATGGGTACTTGATTTATTTTGAAGAGCCCATGCGATATATTTGTGTTAGCAACATTTTAATACTGTATTGCTATTGGTTGGAAATTTGTGGTTTAAACTTAATTCTATTGATTTTAGTAAATGTTGCAAAAAATAATCTTAAAATGTCTATGACATTGCAGTGTGGGTAGGCTTGTTCATATTGATTTTGGTTTTATCCTGGAAACTTCACCGGGTGGGAATATGCGTTTCGAAAATGCCCACTTTAAGCTGAGTCATGAGATGACTCAATTGATCGACCCCTCTGGGGTGATGAAAAGTGACACTTGGTACCAGTTTGTAAGGTATCGAAGGGTTTTCTCCCTCATCTTTTTTCTTTCTGGTCTTCCTATGTCAAGTTGCTAATTCTTTGTTCTGTTTTGTATGTGTGTTCATAGCTTATGCGTGAGGGGTTACCTTGCTGCCCGTCGCTATATGGATGGTATCATCACCACGGTGTTGTTGATGATAGACAGTGGATTGCCTTGTTTCAGCAGGGGGGACCCAATTGGAAATCTTCGCAAGAGATTGCATCCTGAAATGAGCGAGCGTGAAGCAGCCAACTACATGATCCGCAAGTGCACTGACGCCTACAACAAGTGGACCACTGCCGGGTATGACTTGATACAATATTTGCAGCAGGGCATTGAGAAGTGAATGAACCTTTTCAAATGTCGTCTTCAAGTGTATATGTTGTTTGCTTGTAATTCTAGTTATTATTATTTTATACACCCTAGCTTTGCAATTTTTCTCGAGGGATTACCACTGTGATAGCGCTTTGAGACACTGGTAAAATCGGCAAACATGGAAATGAGTTGTTTTTAACTGTTTAGTGGAATTCCTCTGTGAAGTTTGTAAAAATAGAATTTGTAGCTCCCACTTATCATCAATAAAATTCACGTGTGTGACTTATTTTCTTCAGTTTTTCTTTTACTGAGCTATTTGGTGCAAGTACCCAGTAACATATAGACTTACAACATCGATATTTATTGATATATGACTGACCCGCGTTACTGATACCAATACGTATCTTGATGCTGTGAAAGTGGGGCACTAGTTATATGATTGGTACTGGTCCATCACAGCAAGCAAATAACTCAACCATTTCTGTCTTTATACGATAAAGAGTTACAATTGTGGTTATGATCCTTTGACGATTTCGCAAATGGTTAAAATTCATTGATTGTTGTTTGTCTTGAGTTTCTTAGACAGATCACATGCTTTGCTCATGCTTGCTTGCTGGCTTGTCGCTTTCTATACCAGCCCCGACATGGAAGAAAACATATGTTTTTTTATTTTTATTTTTATTTTATAGTTTTATGGAGCTGTGAATCGTTGTGATTGTAAAGTACACAAGTTAGAAGGTATTGAAATTAGTCGATGCTTAAATATTTGAGTTTTGAGTTCAACTCTTTTATTAGTATTTGTGGAGCTCAAGTTCAGCATATGGTAACTCAATTACTTGAAACAAGAAGTTCGAAAACAAGTCTGAATTAAAATGCACATTAAAGGGAGAGAATATAAGAATATGCGTGAAATGTGAAAAAATGTTCCAATTATTAAATAAATTCTATCAAACATATGCAAATTTGTACATAAATTAAACATAAACAAATATCTGAATATATAAAAATACTAGTACATTAAATTGAGCTAAGGGTAAAACATGAAAACTATAAACATGTATCAGTGAAAGCAAATAAAATGCCAAAAAAATCATTTTTTCTTGGGTGAAATATTTGTCATTTAATGTGTATATATATAATTTATTTATATATCTAAACATATTAGATGATATACTACAAGAAAAAGCAAACATTTTTTAGAAGGAAAAAATTGTTGCCAAAAAAATTGGACGACGAGAATCTCATTCATTCCTGAAAGTGCTTTGTGTGAAAACATATTTTTTTTCATCCCAAAGATTTATATTTTCTCGTAGTTGAATGAACATTACCTCCAGAGACGTTGATTTTTTTTTTTCTTCGTAGTTGAATGAAGTGTGTTTTTGGTTTCTAAGTTTTACTACTAGTCAAAGTGAAATGCTTTTTATACATGTAAAATTAGATTGACGTAATTTAAATATCAAGTATCAAAAGACATAAATTACATATTTTGAGGACTTAAAAAAGTAAATTTTTAATTAAATTTTGACTTTTACTCCGAACTTTAATGGCATCTACAAATGAAGTTATCCTATGGATCAAATCGAAATACTTTATATATATGTATTATGATTAAAATAACACAATTTAAATAGAGAAAATTTTACTTTGTCCTTTAAACTATCGCTTAAAAATCAATTCAACCCTTTTTCTTTCAATTATATCAATTGGAAAAAGTGTGGTAGCTCGAATTGGAGAGGGCTCGAATGGCTCGAATGGGTGTTGGCCAGTCGTTCGCCCGGATGACCGGCAAAGTGAGTTTCGAGCCATTCGAGCCAATCTCATATTCGGGATACCAAGCATTGCTCATATCAATTTTACACCTAAATTATTTAATTTTCACCCTGCCTTTAGTTGCATCTATGATCAAACATACTCGAATGGGTGTTGGCCGGTCGTTCACCCGGACGATCGGCAAAGTGAGTTTCGAGCCATTCGAGCCAATCTCATATTCGGGATACCAAGCATTGCTCATATCAATTTTACACCTAAATTATTTAATTTTCACCCTGCCTTTAGTTGCATCTATGATCAAACATAATTTATTGACGTGACATTAAATTTCATTTGAAACTTTATTTTATTTTCTAAACTATCTCTTAAAATCAATTTGACACCTGAATATAAACGAAATTAAATTTAAATATTTAATTAATAAATTTTTATCTCATAAATGAAAATAATAAATTTTAAATAATATACTTTACAAAAAAATAATTGAAGAAATATAAAAGGCCTCATTTATAATTGTCTCTTTAAGTTTTAAGTTGCCTCTAGCCGGTCATGGAGAAACTAATTGGGTCTAAAATTTCTTGGCTACTCTCTCTCTCTCTGTGCGCGCATGTGCACTCAATTGTAACTAACTTATTGCCCTGATTAATTTCAATAGGATTGATTGAGTAATAATAGTTTCAAAATTGTGTGGGTAAAAATTTAGACCACACTTATCCAAAGAGAAGCATCTTCTTCCAACATTTAAAAACTCACATTAAGGGGTTGTTTGGGATGTCCTAAATAAGTGTACTTTTTGAATTTTTATGAAATATGGGTTGGGTATGGGTTGGGTTTGAAGTGATGTGATAGAGAAGTGATGTGACTTAAATAAGATGATGTGACTTAAATAGAATAATAACTTTTTGACTTTTTGAATTATTTTGAAGATGCCAACTATGAAAATGAATATGTCAAGGCCTCAGCCTACAAAACCAAAGTTAGTATCTAATCGGTCGGATCATCGATTGAATGACATTTGGATACAAAAGTTAACAATTACTCTATAGAGAATATTCAACAATACAAATACTCAAATCTTTTATATTTAAAATTTATTTTTTTTCTTAATTTTTTAGATAAAAATTTATTATTAAATGTATATATTTTTTCTATATTTATGGGTCTAATTGAATTTTGAGGGATAGTTTTTTTTTTTTTTGGGGGGGGGAGGGTTGGTGCAGGCATTGGTGTTGATCGTGTCAAATCAACAAATTTTGTCTAATTATAGATGACAACTAACTGTGGGAATGAAATTGATCCTAAATCAAATAATTTAAATATAAAATTAATATAATTAAAAAGACAAAGGTTGAATTGATTTTTAATTAATAATTAGGGGCAAAATAAAATTTACTCATTTAAATATTCAAACTAAAATCACACAAACCCTCCTTTTGGAGACTAAAAAAATTAATTAACTAAAAATAAGTTAATGCTCCAATCATGAAAGTAAAGAATGTGTCAAGTGAGGGACCATTAACACATTTGATTTCGTAAAAAAAAGTCTTTACCACCTGAGCAACACGGATGAGCGGTGCTATTGTGCCTTAAGGCATAGCAGTTACTGCTGCCTCATTTTGAGAGGTCGTCCTGAGTGTTTTTCGATAATCTGAACCGTTCATATTGTAAGGTTCGTCAAGAATATTATTTTTGTAAAAAATCAAATTAATCGGATATTCATAACCCTATGATTAGATCCCAATTGTTTTTAAAAATTTATAAAAGTTATGTTAACTATTAATTTTTATAGAAACAAATGTGCTTTGGTTATAGGGTTACAGTTATCCAATCAACTGGATTTTTTGTATGGATGATTTACTTGACGAAATCTACAATATGACCGGTTCAAATTATCGAAAAACACTCGAAAAAACCTCCCACAAAGGGTACAATAGTAACTACTGTGCCTTAAGGCATAGCGACACCCCCACTCGGGAGCAACACACAATATATGCATTTCTTCCTTTTATATTATGATATTAATGCCTTTGTCATTATTTATTTATTTATTATTTTTATTTACTTGAATTACGTACGCATCAACTACTATATATAGTGATATTAATATAGTTATCATTTTTTTCTTTTGTTTTTACCTACTCGAATTGTACACACATCACGTGTGTCAGTCGCTAGTATAATATATAGAAGATAATAGTATGGGCAAATTACACTTACCTGCATGGGGCTTCACATAATTGCAGGTTATAAAGCAAAAAATTACCAAGATTGCCCCTTAGTTACCTATTTATTCAAATAGCAAATTTCATTTACCTCATTTACCTCTCCTGGGGTTTTGTATAAAAATTGATAAAGCCCTATGCATATGTTAGCAATGTTGAACAAAATTCTTATTTCTTATAATATTAAACAAAAATCCTAAATTGTTAAGATGTTATTAAAATATTTAATAAAAGTTAATCCTAAATTCTTATTTTCATGCGACTACCTATGTGACGCCTCAAAAGTCGGGAATATCAAGAAATATATTAACAAATAAATACATGATTTTACAAGTTCAAAAATAAAGAATGATACATCAGAGTTAAATGTATTATAGACAATGTTGCCCTAATTTTGTAAATTATAAGTAAAAGTCAAATTTCAATAGCGAAATGGAAAAATCCGACGTCAGTCCACACTTGCCACAACTTTCTGAGCTGTTCCAGAGCAACGGAAATAGTCATGAGGTGCAAAACCCAGAAAGAAAACACAACAAACCTACCTTTTTTCTTAAGGAAAATAACAAGTTTATAAGCATGGTAATTATAAGAACATCTCCGACGCTTTACTCAAAATTTTCATCAAATTTCACTTAAATCTGATAAAAAAGCTTGATTTGATATCGTGCATTTCAATAGAGTGATTTGAGATTTCATCAAACTACTGATTGACTAGGAGGACAACCCGGGGGATGACCAGCCGGTCAATCGACTAGTATAATTTTTTCACAAATTTTTGCAAAAGAGGTGGTCATCTGGGGGGACAATCGGCTAGACATCTGGCCGGTCATTCGGTGGTAAAAATGACCTATAGCTCCAATGACTATGAACAGCGATTTGATGACAGGAAAATCCATCATCAATTTGATGAAAGATTTGAGAAATCCTGAATTTGATGAAACATTTGGTGTTGGGTTGGATATGGTCTAACATAATAATATAAATGTAAGCACAAAGACACATAATTTCATTAGAATTACCAGTTTGTTACACCAGGTGACACCTAAAATCTCACCATAGAGAATCATCCTCCCAACCACTAAGCCATGGCAACGGTTGATTTGAAACTCTCTTTTGTCAACTATTAAAGTGTCACAATCTATAACTACACCAAGAATGCTCACGTCTAGGGTTACATACCTAAGTAGTAGCATTTGTGGTCTGCCCCAAAGGAATGGTTTGCCAGGGATACGCATCCTCCATGTTGTGCCACCAGAACATCCACCCTTATTTCAAAACTGAGAACCAATAAAGGTTCAAATAC